TTGTAATCAATTGAAGTCAGGGCAAACTCTGAGTCAAATGATAAAGTGAAGGATAACAAAGTCTTCGTAATGAATAAAGTAATAATTACCCTTTGTATCAAACTTTCACTAAAGGTTGAAGTAGAAGAGAACAGGAGCAAAAGTGGTGAGCTGAGAGGATCAGAAACCATGTGTGATGGCAGTTATCATGAAGGATTAACTCAGCAGAGGAAGAGGGGAAAAACTGATGACCAGCAGTCTCCTGCTCTGCAGAAAGGAGATTCTGATAGGTAAGCCTCTATCAGTATTCAGCAGTAAGTAATTATTATTTTCCTAGATATTGTTCAGAATTTCTTCCCAGACTCATCTCTCTACTTGCTTCCATATATTTTGTACTCTTCCTTCCAGGTTCCTAGGACACGCCTAAATGCCATGTGCCTAATCTTTGTGCTCACATTCTAATCTCTTAAGTAGAATAATTTCCTCCTGTCTTCTTGCTCATGACTTCCTGTTTATTTCCCGTCTTCTGTAAAGCCTTCCTTATGCTCATTTTACTTTCATTATATCAGCTCTTGCATATCACATTGTATCATAATTGTATATCTGTCTTTGAAGCAAGAATTTGTGTTTCCTTGCATATGGTTGGCACTTGTTAACCATTTTGTGAATTAATAAATGATTGAGGATGGGTAAGAGTTGGAATATTAGAAAAATTGGGGTTTTTTTAAATTTATCAGAATTATTTTTTAAAAATTGGCTTTTTTATGGATTGTTTTAAAGAAGCTGTCCTGGCTTGCATATGAAAGAAATAAAGAAGAATGAAAGTGGAAAACGGACATTAAAAGCATCTGTGACTTCACGTGTATTTGCGAAGACTGCCTCACTGGCTGGTGGTCTCCTACACATGAATGACAACAGCAATTTAAGTGAAGATCAAGGTTGTGGCAGGTAAAACCTACAAATTCTTTATTTCTAGCTGAGGACGTATTAGCAGTGATTACCTTCTCTGGAAATAGAACAGCAGCATATAGTGCAAAGGCCAAGGCAAGAGAATTCTCAAATGTGTCGGAGGAACTCTGCCGAAAGGTTAAGATGAGGACAAGTGCCTTTGACTGGAAGCCGGGCTGCAGTGAGTCAGTGTGAACAGCCCCTCAGAGGACATTCCCTGGGAAGGCAGGAGAGGACTGGGTGATAACTGAAGGGGAACGTGGGGCTCGTGGGGGTTCCCTTTTTTTAATGATGACATGGTAGTTTGTAGAGCATGTCTGTGTGCTGTTGGATGTGATTCCATAGAAGATGTGTTTTTCAATTTCATCTTGTTAGCATTTCTGATATTAGAAAGTGTATTGATTGTACTGTGTTATCTTTAAAATATTATAGTAAACTATTCATGTATAGTTTTATTGTAAGGGCTTATTCATTAGTTCTGAAGCGTAATATTCTTACACAATTGAATATGCAGATAATGACTTTAAAGTTACACCATTGTCCATAGATTTTTAAGAATTGTATATTCATAATAACTACAAACACTTAGGCCATACTGAATAGGGTTTAATCATTCCTTGATGATTCTAGACTTTATAGTGTCCTTGACAGTATCATCATTAGTGGCTGTGGTTTTGTATGCTATTGTAAAATATCAGATTATAGTAACAATATTTGTTTAGATTCTAGGAAGTAGGGGAAGATTTTGTTTATATACAATAGAATAATAAACTATTAACAATCTATCACAGATGATTACTTTTGGATTACTAAGTTCTAAATTAAAAAAGCCATCATGCTCCATAAGGACCTGTCAAATGCATGAACAAACAGCTGAATGGATAATGAATGCCCGCTGATTAATGTCTTTAACAAAAGCAAATCTTTATTAAAAGTAGATTTCCAGTATTGGCTAGGTCTAAAGCCTTTTTATTTTTAAAAAGTAGGTGTTAAGATTCAGAAATTATTAGTAGTATTATTTTAACCTTTTTTATTGAGTCATAGTCGTTTTGCAATGTTGTATCAAATTCCAGTGTAGAGCACAATTTTTCAGTTACACATGAACATACATATATTCATTGTCACATTTTTTTTTTGCTGTGAGCTATCATAAGATCTTATATATATTTCCCTGTGCTATACAGTATAATCTTGTTTATCTGTTCTACATTTTGAAATCCCAGTCTGTCCCTTCCCACCCTCTGCCCCCTTGGCAACCACATGTTTGTATTCTATTTCTATAAGTCTGTTTCTGTTTTGTATTTGTTTTGTTTTGTTTTTGTTTTTAGATTCCACATATGAGTGATCTCATATGGTTTTTTTCTCTCTCTTTCTGGCTTACTTCACTTAGAATGACATTCTCCAGGAGCATCCATGTTGCTACAAATGGCATTATGTTGTCGGTTTTTATGGCTGAATAGTATTCCATTGCATAAATTTACCACATCTTTTTTATCCAGTCCTCTGTTGATGAACATTTAGGCTGTCTCCATGTCTTGGCTATTGTAAATAGTGCTGCTATGAACATTGGGGTGCAGGTGTCATTTTCAAGTAGGGTTCCTTCTGGACATATGTCCCAGAAATTACTATTTATAATTATACCTAGACATAGAATAATAATAGAGATTCATTTACTACATTAGTTAAAAATACTTAAAAGTGAATATTACTTTCTTAGCATACTGTGAAATGTAAGTATTGAAGCCATATTGCCTGGGTTGGAATTCTGGGCAGACATAGGGGCTTCGACTAGTGACTTAGCCTTTCTGTGCCTCATTTTCTTCCTGGGTAAAGTACCTAATGTATTACCTACCTCCCAGGATTGTTGTGAAGATTAAAATGTCTTTAAGACATGTAACGTTCTGATAACAATGCATAGCAGTTGCATACGAAGTCCTCAAAAAAGCTAATATGGTTATTAGAAAAGAGTTTCTTTCATAAAAGGAGTTAAGTAATACTTTCCAAATAGGTCTTATTGTCATAAAAGCCAGTTTTTATTGAAAAAGATAACAAGAAAATCCTGGTATATTTTTTCCTATCAAATAATACAAGTAATGTTATGTTCTTCCTTTTCTTTTGCTTGTCCGCTTGATCTAAATTTAATAGTTTGTTAATAATATAATTGATATACTTTCTTTGTCCTTTAATGTTACTGTTTCATTTAATCCCTTTTATTGAAAATTATCAATGCAAAAATTTTGTATTAAAAATAATAGATATACATGTTTCTTGTATTTTCAATATTTAGTATTTGGCTTAAATGAATTGCTTTTTTGATTTTTCAGGTCTTCAAAGAAAACGTCTATTGAAAAGGACCAGGTATAGTAAAATATTAATTATAAAGGTATTTTCCTGTAGTGAAAAACATTTATAAAAGATAGAGTGGAAAAACAGAAAACCCTCCATTGTTGTAGAGACATTTACTTAAAAATCACTTAGAAATACTATAGATTAAGTTAACCTTTTGACAAAAATCAGTTCGAGAAGTGTCTGTGGTTTTGCGCTCATAAAAAGATGGACCTCTATCACCTCTGTACACTGAGCATATTTTATAACTATGTTGGAGACACTGTGAAATAGCATTATTTATTTGTAGGTCAAAGAGCAGATGAATTCTGTGGATGGTCTCGATGACTTAACTCTGGCACCGGAGACAGCTTCCGAGGATTGCGAGTCGCTTTTCCCTGATTATAAGAACACCCTGAGGCTAAACGAACGACTTGGCCCGGAGAGTAAAGGTAGGACCCCCGTATGACTACACAGCCTAAAGTGTCTAGTGGTAACATGTGCATACCTAATACTGCCCAGGGAGCACGGCTACGTTACAGTCCACTGCGTCTCAGACACCTGCTTTGTGTTAAAGCAGAAGAATCAGACGTGCGCTGCCAGCCAGGGGCTGTGACCGTTCCCACCCCCTGTGCTTTCTGTTGACTCTGCTGCTCCTATGCCTTCACCCGAGGTCAGGTTATCACTTCTTCCCTCCTAGAATGCTGAAATCACCTCAGGACTTTTCTTCTATGCTGTCCGCCTCCTGGAACCTTGGTCTACACCGCAACCATGATTACTAAAATTCAGGTCTTTGTTACCCAACCTTGTTTAAAATCCAGCTCCTGCTTCTCTTAGCTCCATGGTTAAAGGCCGCAGTCCTCTGGCTTCATCTTGTTTCCTTTTATTACCCTTCTTTCCACATGAGTTTTAGAATCAGCTTGTCAATGTAAAAAAAAAAAGTCTGCTAGTGTTCTGGAAATGAGATGTAGATTATGTTGAAGCTGTAGATTAATTTGGGGAGATTGACTTCTTAGCAATATGGAATTTTTAACC